TCATAACAGTTTTAAAATACCTCTGTAATTTATTTTTTCTTGGGAATCTGAAATGCCACAGGGTTGGAAAAGGGGAGTAAAGGGTAAGAACTGTTACACTTCAATTTATGCGAGATAAAATAAATAAATTTACAATCACGAGTTATAGCATAGTCCATGGAATAAGAAAGCCAGCAAAACAAACTTTCACAGTTGAGACATTTTTTTTATCCGAAAATTATAATTACCAAGAATACGCTGAAAAATAATTTCGTGATAATGTGACTAAAATGCTATTTAGTAGGCAAATATATTGCTGGAAATATAGATTCAAGTTTACTGATTCTATATTTAGTTGATTGTTAAATATTATTGAAAAAATCAAATTTTTTCAACATTCGGGATTCCAAGAATACCACCCTCCTGGTGATATTCTTAGATGTTACTCTGCTATACAATTTATTCACAAATCAGAATTTCAAGAAAATTTTCAAAAACTTTCTATCAAATATGAGTAAATAGAATTTCCAATATCAATTTCTCTAAAATCCAAAAATAATTCATGTATCAAACGCCCCTAATGCATATATAGTGAGGGGAAACAACTTTCTTGTTGCTGGATAGTTATTTTCTCCAATGATTTTTTGATTTTTGTGCAATAAATATTTTTTTAATAGACGTGGATCCAACCAAGAATGTGTGTGAGTTAATGAGAGTGTTGGTTTGTGGAGAGGTATGTGAAATCTTGTGATGACCAATTTAATCAGAGGGTTGCTGAGCAATCTCCATTGCAATCAAAGGTACCTTATGGTCCAAGGAATCACAGGCCTATGATTGCGACCACATAGTCTGAGTAAAGGTATATGCTCAAATGGGGAGGATGATGGGAGTACATAGAAGAGTGTTTGGAATTCTAGATTCACATGGGAAGAGTGTAGTGAAGTGTAGTGTGACCTTCTCATCACTTTCAGACAAATTGCAGAGAAGCACCCAAAAATACTTTCTCCTTTTTTGGACCTTTTTCATCATACGCTTGTTTTGATATCATGATTTTTTATTTTATTTTATTTTATTTTTATAAAATTTAAACGGAAAGGTTATGATTTTTCAGTTATATACATTATTTTTCATACAATTTTATCTAAGTTTGTGTATAAATAGAAAAACCAAAAATTTTAATTTGTGGTTCCCTATCATAGAAGTTTTTCGCTTTGCGCAATTTCTGATGCAAAACCTTCCATGTGAAAGCAAAAGCCCCTAATTTTATTTTATATTTTATTTGTTTAATATATTATTTTATGGTGTGAGACGTCAATTTGGGTAAAGGGAGTCACGCTGTGGTCCAATCCTATAGCTGTTAAAATCAGTAATGTGGCCTACGGTGACTGATAAGGATTATCAATAATAAAAAGTAAAGATGTGTATGTCCTTTAATAGGGAGAAGAAGCCAACCACCGAGAAAGAGAGATGCGAAAAGAAACCATGATATTAAATTCTCAGACTTTTTATTATATCATTTCTATATTTTTTTTCATGACATATATCTAATTAGTCCTTATTATTTTGTTTTCATTTGAAAGTAAGATTACCATTTTAAAAGTTATCAACACGGTAAGTTACTTGAAAAAGAAGTAGAATTTGTTAACTATGGTCATATGTGATTTATATACAGGTTGTGTTTTTTTTTTTTCCTTTAAAATAAAAGGGTACACTTGTTTATTATAATTTTTATTTAATTATTCTTTTAACTAAAAAACTTATATTTTTCTTTGTTAATCAAATAAGAATGACAATAAACATATAACAGTGCCAACAGACAGTAATTCTTAAGAAAATACTGAAAGTATAAAATTCTGGATTAAATTCTCGAAATTGTAATAATGATTATTTAATCCAGCGATTTCACTAAAGTTGTTTTCTTTTTTTTTTTAGTTACTTAAATATGCTTTCTTGGTTTGCATAGGAAGATTAACATTTCTTTTAAATTACAAAATGGGCATGCAGGTAGTTGGTCATAGGGATTACTGAATCAACGTGGATGCCAAAAAGAAAGACTAAACCCCTTTGGATCATAAAAAATAGGTTTAGCCCACAAATATTTAATGTTAGAAGATTATTAAACTTTATAATCATTTTGTTGTCTCCATGAAACTGAATGTGAAAAATTTAATGATATTTTATAAATAAATAATTATATAATTTAGTATTTTAAAATTTATGGGCTTGGTTATATAATTACTGGATAGTCAGTTTTTTAGAGCAGGCAGCAGCAGCATATTGTACAATAACAATATGGGAAATAGGCAATGCAGAAAACTCTCATTAAGGCTAAAACCCAGAATCTTATATGATACCACGGCTCCCAGTTATTTTTTTCCCCTATCACTTTCATCACAAACTGACAATTAAAAAAAATTCACTTTTTCTACGGTTACTCTGCACATAACTTGTTTAGAGTAAGTTGAATACGATGTCGTTTTGGAGCAGAAATCATGATATTTTTGTAATTTTAATTTATTTCAGGGTTATTATAGTCTTTATAATTATAATTTTTTAATCTTTCAATTCTAAAATAACATCATTTTAGAAATAAATGTAGATAATTTATCTGCATTAACTGCACAAATATTTTTCTGTTAAAAGAAACACAATCATTCCAAGATTCTTACCTCTTTTGCCTTAATACTCTTACTTGATAATTTATATTATATTAAAGTTTTTATGACAATTGAAATAGAGTTTGATTCTTGTTGTAGTTTTTTTTTCTTTTAATAAATAGTTAGAATTTAACACAAAATAATTGAAATTGTGCATTGTTCTTACTTCAAGTTCAAAAATCACACTTGTGTTTCAGTATGTTTTGGAAAAGTAATATACAAATATTTACGTATCTTCGCGTAACATTTTAAGCTTTTAGAATATAGTATATGACTGTGATTCTTTGTGGTTAGTTTAATTAGACTTTGATTTTTTTAATTTGACTTGCGATTAAACTACTGTGTAGGAAGAATAAACCATTATAAGGCAAAGATTATGTCTAAGTAATTCCATGATGATTTAGGTGATATGCATTTATTACACAAATACAGGGCAATCGATTTTTTCTGACTTTATTTGGGGGCGAATATACGTGACAATAACCCAATAAAAAAAACAAAAAAAAAACTGGAGAGAAGAAGTATGGGGAATAGGAAACCCGATATCATGAATTAGTAAAGGGTTTAATTTTACCAAAAAAAAAAAAAATTTAATTTTTCTCTTATGAAATTATCTTTCACATATATAAAAATACGTGACACTCACGTAGATACAGAGTCATGTAAATAAAAAAACTAACCACAATTACTTTTATATATATAATTAGGGTTTCATAAGAGTTATGTTGTAGAAAGAGTGATTGTGTAATGTTATAGAGATTCGTTTTGCGTGCCATAATTTCTTTTTTTTTTCTTTTTTCTTCAAAAAGTGTGGGCTCCACAAAATTTTGTGAGTGTAGAAAAATTTATTGTGTGATGCACAAGAAAATTTTCTACACACAACATTTTATGGAGCCCGCACTTTTTGAAGAAAAAAAAACTACGGCACACATCTGTTTCCTCCATCGGGAAGAGTTCTAAATGTAACGTGCGTCAGAGTTTCTTGTTTTTTTTAGTCAAGCTTATCAGTTCAAGTATTAAAATCTCCATCTGGTTGGCTTAGTAAGTAAGAAGAAGTATTCATGGAAAATACTAATTGTACATCACCTTTATTCTTACATCTATCACACAAAATCAAATTATAATTGTGTAAAAAGTAGGTATGTCAAATTATAAATCGATTATAAAAACCATACAAACTTAAAGAAATATATTTTTAGAGTTTTATATATTTTGACTAGTTGAATTTAAACTTTGGATCTAATTTGAATGAACACCCAGAAAATTATTATCTTTTAAATATACCAAGTCAATGAGAGTTGCACCTTTAAAATTGTTCGAGAAAGAGGCTTATTCACAATTGCACAATTTTGTCCCCTAACATTAGAAAAGAAAAAAAGAAATAAACTAACCTCTATGATCTGAACTGTTGGGAGCTTCGGAGGGGAGAGAGTCCAACTGTGACAGTTGGTGGGCTGCTGTCTTCTTTAGTCTTCGGTTGTTATACTTATAGGTCCAGTATCTTCTTCTTATTTTACTTTAATTGTTTAATGTTTTCAGATATTTTCATCGTAATACCAAGTAAACATATGAAATTTAATGTTGTGTCTGTCATAGCTGGTATTGACTGTTTATTATTTTTGAGATAGGATGTTGTGGTGCATATACGATATAAATATTAAATTGTATTTACATACAACAGAATAATATACGATGAATACTAAATTTTATTGTACCAAAAAAATAAAAATAAAATGAACTTGGATACGTGAGAATACATCTCAAGCATGAAGAATGGAACAGGATTGTTAAGCCGAAAGCACACCATCATGTAAATAGTAAAGTATTTGAACTTGTGCATGTCTAATTTTATACTGACATCTTCAAAACAAAATAAATAAATTTAATATAGAAATTTTAATTCTTGAAACTGTAATCAAAACAACATTTTGCAAGATTCCTATCTATATTTAAAAAAAAAAAAAACTTATTCTTTTAAAGTGAGGAGTTCATATAAAAAAAAATTAAATAGTTACAATAGTTAATTGAAAAATGAATGGTTGAGATTGTAATAAAACAAATGTATAAATATGACAAAAGATAAATGAAAACAATGTCATAGTTTTGTAATTATTAGTAAAAAAAAATGAAAAATGAAAAACACAACATTTCTACAAACTAAATGCACTTAGATGTTTAGCATGCTTAGAGTGAATATAGTGATTATTCAGAAAAGCAATTACCTGATATCACAAGAATGAAAAGTGAGAATTTTGAACTCTAGACCAACAAATGAAATAGTATAGAAATTTGTAGATTGTGGCAGCATGCAAAAATGTGCTCTTTGCTTACTAGTACACTCCTTTCCTTTGAAGTCTAACAAAGCAGTGAAAAATGGTGAGTAGACTATTAGAGAGAGGATTGAGGAGGTTTAGATCATACAGAAATAAATTTTCATCTATTATAATTGACCAAAATTTGATAATCCATGGTAAAAAAAAACTTTTTCTTTCCTAAGCTGAAAGGACTACATTCCTGAAATTGTTATGTTTTTTCCAAGTATCTAGGAGGTAACAGATCATGCTGCTGGATACTGTGTACATGCTGATGTTCATTTGTTGCTCACAGTCACAGCAGTGTGCTTGGAGAATGGAGATGGCCCTCTCATAAGGACATTGTGATCCCATATTCGAGGTTCTGTATCCTTCATGAATAAATATTATACTTGTAGTTACTTCCCATGCTTCTTATCTGGAATCCAGGGATCACACTTTAAGAAGATTGGAGTAACATAGTTCCTTAATAATTCTTTAATGATTTCAACTTTTCAAGTATAGGCAAAAAAGTGAAGGAGAAAAGATAGGATAGTAAGTAACAGAACCAATTGCTGCTTCTTATGGTAACAATATTCTTGATGTTACTGTCATACCTCTCTGAAACCATGATCTTCTGACACTGCGCCGCATGTGACGCTCTTGTCTTTCTAAGAGCTCGTCAACTGTGTGCATTTGAGATAGTAAGGGCCCTGAAAATTCAACCTTTTCTCCTTGATCCTGATAACTCTGTAAGGAGGGACATAAATAAGAATCATGTCTAAGCAATGATGCATAAATTGTATAGTTTGGCTTCTAGTCCAATAAAATCATTAACCAGGGTAAGTCAGTTAAAGTAATTACTACAAAAAAATGATAATATTAATATGTGATTATCTATACAAATGGGTCTCTATTCTCTGCTATTGGCCTCAACCTTTTTTAAAAAAAATAATAATAATTAAGAAATCAATTAATTTAACTAAGTAGGAGATTAGTTAACTGAATTGTCATCTAAAGAAGAATTCTTTTTATTTTTTTTGCAATTCACTTGTCTCAACTCTCATACAATGCCAATATCAATATTTCAACAAAAGAATGAATACCTTTTTTTGCTTTTTAAAAAATTCCTTATATGATCACAAGTTCTAAATATCATCTTTCAAATAGCATCCTCTATCAATCTCCGTATATGGAAACAGAAACAGAAACAGAAACAGAAGAAGATGTAGCAATAAGCACATAAGTTTCATCCCTCAACTGGTGATATCTAATTAATACCATATAAGTGAACCTGGCAAACTTACCAGGTTACTTCTCTTGGATAGTGAGTCTTCTCTATGATAAAGTACCGAAGACAGTTCTTGGGAATGGTACTCTTCAGAAGTATCAAATGAATCTGGACGATCAAACTTACTCCATTGATTTTGCATTGCAAGCTTAGAAATTTGAAGTACGTCATGGCCCCTAGAGTTAGTGCGTTCCCCAAAAAATTCCTTATTTTCATAGTTTCTGGAGTTAGAATTATCCCTTGAATTTAGTGTAGAAGTTTCTAACGAATTAAATAAATATCCTCTAGAAATAGATCGAGTGTGGGATCTAATTGAAGTGTCATCTTTCCGCCTTTTTGCCCATGCAAAGCCACTTGATTTTGAAACTTGTAATGGTCCAGGAAAGGGAACATCTACTTGAGATGCATTCTTCATATTGCAAGCATCTTCTGGTTTATCACTTGATGGCTTTGGTGCCTCCTCACCAGTGTTAGTTATCTCTTCTTTAAGAATGTGGACATATCTATCATCGATCTTTTGGGAAGTTTGACTTGTCAAATCCTGTTCAAAAGAAGAATAAGATGTTTGGTGGGACTTAATCTGTGGTAATTAAACCACTGCTAGAAATCAGTGTGCATGCACATAAATAGAAAGAAAGCAAGATAAACCTCTGCTGGGGCCAATTTACTCAGTCCTAGTGGCTTTCTTGACGTTTTTCTTGTTTCAGGTCTACAAACTCGCCCACAGATCTTTTTCCTGAAATTTCATCACCATATGATTTCATGAAAAGGCAACAAGTAATGATTGTAAAAATGGAAAATTTTTAAAGAATAAATTTTGTTTATTATGCTCAATACTATTGAAAGGTTCACAGCATCTTTTTAGTTTTACAGCCTTAAGAGCCAATTTGGTATACCCTTAAAATTTGGTATACCACAATACCACATGAGAGGTAATCCATTTCTAGAGACACCGATTGATATGTGACAATCTAAACCTTTTCATAACAAATAAAACTGCATAAAAGAGACAGTGAAGATGATTTTCACCTTCTTGACTCCTCCTCGTCTTTTGAATCAATCTCCTTGCTAGGTGGGTAATTTGGTATGCTTGATGGGTCACATGCGTAAGGTTTTGTTTTGAAATACTGAAAGTGGTAAGATTGTAGTATCAGAAGACTAGAAGAGTCCAAAACCATATATCAATGCTTCACATATAAAGTTTGAAGATGCATGATGGACAGGTTTGTGCCTGGGACTAATATCAGGAAAAAAAGGATTTCCATGGACAAAGGCGCAATCAACAGACTATGTTATGCAACAGAGATTAATCACTGCAAAAAGAACCCTCAAGTAATTTTCAACAAATACAAAATCAACACAGAAAAGTTAACTTACCTCCAATGTGAGAGCAGATGAGGCAGTCCCACGCTTGTTTGGTTCCACAGAAAGAAGAGTTTGTAGCATATTTACACTGGATGCAGGAAAATCTTTAAATGTCTCTCGGAGGCTACTACTATATGGTTGCTGTGGCTTGAACAAAGTTGCATGAGGAAGTTTGGTCTTTTTCCAGTATTCATCGGGTGGGGAGCCACAGAGCTTGAAGATTTTATGCAATTGTTCAACCTGTATGCATAACAAGGATGAATTTAGAAGAGATTCAAAAGAACAGTTAAAACAAAATATTGGAGTTGTCATTTCCAGATGATTAGTTTAACTTCCATTAATATTATAAGCAACTGAACACACAACGATAGCATCAATGTCAAATAGACAATAGAAAGATTTCCACAAAGTCTCAGGCAATAGGTATGGGACTGAAATTTCTACTGTTTGATTGTTCCATAGGATATATTTTGAAATTTACAAAGCTATCAAAATATAGTAATATAACAGAATAAACGAATAAAGCTCAAATCAGTTTGTAGGCATGAGTGCATCACTTTCTTAGAGAGGGAGAACAAAGAGTTGAGACTGATATCCAGGTAGAATGCATTTAAAGTCTTGGTTGTGATAAGGATGGCACAACTTACAGGCCACTTAAGCATCTGACCCAATTCTTTACATCAACAAATCTAATGAAACCTTCTAAAAGAAAAGTGGTTTAATATTTGTCTGATAAGATCTTATTCAATTTTCAAACTTACACTAACTTGCATCATCAGAGGGGAATCTGAACACAAAATATCAAATGGGAAAAGAAAAAATATCCATACATTGTGAAAAGGTTGCTACCTCTGTTCTCCCTTGAAGTATAGGCTTCCCAACTAGTAGCTCTGCAAATACACAGCCAACACTCCAGAGATCCACGGATGGACCATATTCTGTTGAACCAAGCAAAAGCTCCGGAGGGCGGTACCATAAGGTGACAACACGACTGGTGAGGGGTTGCTTGTTCCCAGAATTAGAGAAGTTTGCCAATCCAAAATCTGCCACCTTTAATATCCCTTCATTATTCACCAGAAGATTTGATCCCTTGATGTCCCGGTGCATCACACCCCGTGAGTGACAATGCTCAAGACCACATAACAACTGCTTCATGTAGCATTTCATCTGCACAACAACACAAGAATGCATCACAACAATTTTATCTCTTTTTTCTTTGCCTGAAAAGTTCCTGCCCAAACAAATCAGTTGGTACTTATTGTGATAGCTTTGCAACATGAATAATTATTCTTTATCTCATGCTCTATGAGAAACAAAAGCAACAAGCATGCAATATTCATAATACCGGGAAAGCTAAAGTACCTGTGGTTCACTAAACTTGATTTCTGGTCTAGACAAGAGGCCTGTGATGTCGTGCTCCATATACTCAAATACAAGGTATATGCTACAAGACAATCTGGAAGTAATCAAGCCCTCCAGTTTAATGATGTTTGGATGATCAAGCCTTCTGAGAATCATTATTTCTCGTGCCATAAACCTAACACTTTCTGGCTCAAAATTGTCAAATCTCACCTTCTTCAGTGCCACTATCTTCCCAGTCTCAAGTTCCTTTGCTCGGAAAACACTACTATATGTACCCTGCCCAATCTATCCATGCAATTTGCAAATTACAAAAAAAAAAAAAAAAAAATGCCAATTGTCAGAATAACCAGAATTAGTAGAAAAATCAGAATTTTATATATTGGTGTCAATTGATCCATTCCCATGTATATATAGTTAATTAAATCATAAAATTAAAAAAAAAAGACTTGAAATAAAAATATTGATAATTTGATATGATGATATGGTTGTATTGTACTTATGTTATCAAACCTTATCAAGTTTCTCAAATGCATCAGCTCGGAGAGGCACCCAACCGTGAATGGCTTCACAAGCGACGGCGCTGAGCCAAGCCGGCCAACCCGCCGCCGCTTGCTCCCCCTCCAAATACTTGTTCAGGTTCCCTAATCTGAAGCTCAGAGACTCACTTCCACCATTGGAACTCGCCCTCCCTGACTCACCCACCTCGCTCCGACTCGCTCCCACTGACTCAGTCTTCTTCTTCTTCTTGTTCCTCTCTGACTCAACCGAGTGATCGATAGCAGGCGTCACCGTCACAGCCTGCTTCACAAAGACGCACCCCATGATCACTCTCACTCACCTCACCATACCCAGAACGCAACCGGTCAACTTGGTCCGGTTCTTGGGGTCAAGTTAGCTCATTTGGGAACTGCAGAGGATAAAGACTAGCATCAACAACTGTTTAAGGAAACAAGGAAAAATGGGGTTTGGTTTTTTAAACCATGGCTACACCGTATAACACGAAAACATGACAGAGAACTATGTTTCATTCACTTTCTCACTTTGTTTTTTTTGTTCCTGCGGCAATTGCGGAGAGATGGTGGGTATTGGGATCTTAATGAGGCTCACAAAAACAGAACACCGTGATCAGCGGAAAGATCAAGTTTTGTTGTGTTGTGTTGTGTTGTGTAGTGTGTATTTGCCTTCTGAATGAGAACAAAGGGAGAAAGTGCAAAAATACTGGTTTTGTTTTGCGTCGTTGTTATAGGTTTGTTTGTGCGTGTGCCATGGCTGAATGGGAAACTAGAAAGCAACTGAATTTTGCATGGGATTGGATTGGATTGGGACTAAACTAATGGAAGAGCGCGTGTGGCAATGGGAGCTTGTATTGTGTGTAAGAGATATATTCCATTTTTCACAATTATTATCAATCAGTATTGCTTCCACACTCGTAATGGGTATTGGGTCGTTGTTTGTTGTGTTGATTAATGGGTCTCTGTCTCTGTAATCTCTATTTGCTTTCACATTTCCACTTTCTTTGAATTTAAGGTTTGCATATATATATATTTTTATTCAGATTCCATGCACCACTTCACTTTCGTGGGGACAGCGCAATAAAGGGGGATTTTGATTTTTAATATGCACTTGGGTAATTTAATTTTTTTTAAAAAAATATATATATATAATTTTGTAATAACAGTAGTAATGCATGTAAAAAAGTTGGTTACTTTAACTGTGTTTACAGTTCTCCCATGTCTGACATTTTCATCTTTACTTTTATCAGTTATAGATAATAGACTTGAAGCGCACTCGTCGTTGAAAGGTTGAAATAATAATGGGGCAGGCACCACCTCTATCTCTATGCAACAAAATTTTCTTAGAGATATTGACCACAGTTCTCACTTTCTTAGAGATAACGCTTTGGAATGTTGGATATTTTTGAGTGGGTACAAAGCGTGCTGATTAGGTTAGGGCTGACTTGAGTAGGAGTAGGACCATATTTTTATTATTGAGATAAAACTATTTAACAACCAAGGCTCTAAATACTTCAACAATTTAGCTGGTAGCAGCTAATTTCCTAAAATTCAACGTTTCTTTATATGTACAGAAGATAAGGAAAGGAAAACCAACATTAGATTCAATTAACACAAGAAGAAAACTTGAGTTTTAGTAAATGATTTATTTTGCTAATGCATTCAGGAATTTAGTACAATGATTAGGGATGGTGTATTCAAAGCTGAATCGAGTGAAAGAAGGATAGCATAATGATTTGATGTCTAAACCCCTGTCTGCCCTTATTAATATGCCCACCTTATTTTCAGTGTGCTGTTTTTCCAATAAGCAATAGCCTAGAGAGAGGGAAAAGTTTGTAATGCGTAGCTCCACTATCTGTTTTTTCTTTTTTCTTTTTCTCGCTGAGAAAAGGAAGGGCAATTATTTTCATCATTATCATTACAAATATATATAGTTTACAAGCACTTTGGAATCCTAGAGTAACAGTTAGGAATAGGATAAAGTAGAATAATAAGTGAATAATTTTTCCTGTTTTTGCAAGTCTTGCTATTCACCTAAATCATGGTTTGTTCAGACCATACTAGGAAATCAAAATTTGAGGAAATAAAGCTCAGAGGTGAGATATTGAAGGTTGTAATGGATTGGAGAACAGAATATACACAAAATTCGATTTTTCTTTTGCTTTGGTATAAAGTTATAGGCTTCCTCTTTATCAGTTCTATACGTATGGTGTGTCTTTGTCATCACTGATATTTGCAAGCCTCTTTAACAATGCCTTCTTCACCTTACCCTCTCCCCAAGAAAAAAAGAATGACTCTGATAATAATAAGCCATAATTGCTGCCTCGTGCCTCCCGTGATCTAATCAAGATCTCCCTCAAAGCATGGGGAGCACTCAGAAGCAATCATATAAATAAACAATACAACGGTTATAACTAACAAATAAATTTATAGATGAAACTATGAAAGAAACCCCTTTGATTAAATCAATGTAAATAAATGTCCATAAAAGCATTTAGTAAACTTACACTTTAAAGAGACGGTGGGGGGCCATTGAAAAGTGGTAAATCGCAAAGCTAAAACAGGCAAAAGTTTTATCTTTTACAAGCGGTGCATTCCGGGGTAAAAACAAAGGGTAAAGCTACCCTCATGTAACATAATTTAAACAAACTTTCCTACTCAAACAAAAATGCATGTGGGGCCCATACATGTAATAAAAATAAAATGTAAAAAATGATGGTGCAAAAACCAATGAGTCAATAGGTAAAAAATCTTATATCATGTTACATGATAATCCTTTTCCCCAAAAACAAAACAGCAAAAGTCCACAATTTTTTAAGGGCTCTACGTCGGGGAAAAAAATATATTGTATTTTAAATAAAAATTATGAATTTATTATAGTCTTGAAAATAATTACGCATTTATTGTATAATATTACGCTCAAATTGGGCGTTACCAGTCATACCTAAGTTAGGCGTCACTCGTATGGGCGTTAACACGTGTTACAAAAAATTAACATTCTAAACGTAAAACTTCTAAAGGCCATAACTTTTGACTCGGGTATCCAAATCAGGTAATTTTTTTTTGATTCCAGATAACTTTTCGAGATCTACACAATGACACCTCATTTGCTATATTTTATCTCTCACAGACACAATTTAAATTTGCAACAATGAGACTTTATCTTGTAAGTCGTGGTCTGAAATTAATGATGGAATCAAAGTGGATTAGTCCATCTATAAATAAGAATACTTAATATCATAGTAAAATATATATTTTCTACCAAATGTTTGAAAAAAAAATAGTGTATAATATTGTGAGAAAAGAAAGTGTCACAATATAAAAGTGTGAAAGAGATTGGTGAGAATATAATGTTCTTTGAGTTGCATTAAAAAATGCAAAACTTTTGATATATTGCATTAAAAAAAATGTTCTTATGCATTATTACAAACATATATAGCACCTCAAACCTTCTTATCAAAGCATGTTTCATGAAAAGCCTGTAATTGGATGCCCCTTTGGCATATTTCATCTTTGTGAATGATGTTATTTAAATTTTTACTTTCCAGCATTAAGAAATAATTCTCCAAAAATTTTCCAGTGCGTAGATATCGAAAAGTTATGTGGAATAAAAAAATCACCTGCTTTGGACTTCCAAGCCAAAAAAATTAAATAGGTCTTCTTTGAATTTTTGAAGGACTACGATTTCAATTAATTGAGTTTATTTTGAATTTTCGAAGGATCACAAGTCAACTTTTTTTTAATGGATTAAAATAGGGGATAGGATATTGTAACAACCAATTAGTTTAACTACTAATCAATTTTCCCGTTTGATCGATTATGTTGATCTAACGGTTATACTTATTTCCATCTTTGTATGGTTATGATTTCTCATATTTAATGTGAAAGCATTATATATGGGAAATCATAATCATACAAAGGTTGAAATAAATATAAAATATTAAATATGGGGAATCATAACCATACAAAGATGGAAATAAATATAACCGTTGGATCAACATAATCAATCTAACGGTGAAATTGATTGGTAGTAACACTAAATGGTTGTTACAATATCCTTTACCTTAAAATGACCCTGTGTTTTTTCTTGAGGACGAAAAAAAGTATTTACTCTTTTTAAAAAGAAGATTGTGTTTGATGTTGATTTCAAAATAACTCTGAGGCTTCTGGGTTTAAATGCTCTTATAGTACCATTGTTGCAAATTCGAATTGTGTTTGTGAGAGATAAAATATGTCAAATGAGATCTTATTGCGTAGATCTCGAAAAGTTATGTGGAATCAAAAAATTTTTTACCTGATTCGGATACCCAAGTCAAAAGTTATGACCTTTAGAAGTTTTACGTTAATTTGTTAATTTTTTTTGACACATGTCAACACCATATGAGTGACGCCTATCTTAGGCGTGACTCCCTCGTGGGTGACGCCTAACTTAAGTGTGTCTGGTGACGCCCAATCCGAACATGACACACTGCAATATACGCTTAAATAATTTCAAAACAGCAATAACCTCAGAATTTTTTATTTAAAATGCAATTAATTACTTTTTTTGCCGTCCTACGTCTTACAGCAAACAATGTCCCTTGGCTCGTAAGCCCTCGCACAAGGTTAGAATTCTAACTCTTCCAGAGTGGTATCTCATTGATGACTCAGTAAAAGTCCAAAGCCAGTTCCAGGGAACAGTTGAACCAAAACAAAAGATTTTTTCTTAGTCGTTGTGATCTATTGGACATACATTGAATTTCTCATTTATGTTACTTCTTTAGAATAATTTTTTTTACCGTTCCAGGTGGTATCAAGACGACACTATGCCAGTATATCTTATCCATCTCTCCGAATAAATAAACATCTCAACCAATTATAACTATAAATTTACGGAAATACATAATTATAATCTTAATTATTTTTTTTCTCTTCAGAAGTTTTCTGCTAATGCATGGAGAGAAAAAAAAAACAGTTTTACGATGATAATTATCTATTCCCAGAAATACATAGTTATAATCGGTTGCTGCAAAAGAAAAATTTATAACAACATAAAAAGTACATTTCCATTTTTTAATGTATAATTTATCAGAGAAAATAAACTTTTTCCCTTCTTTCATGTACTTGTGAAATACTGCAGACATTTTGACAAAGTTAGCTTGATAATGATTATAAAAAAAAAAAGGTTGGCTTGATAATAATGATAAAAGCTCTTGGTGAGTGGTGACACAGTGGGACTTGTATTAATATAGTGTTTTAAATTGCAGCTTGAGAAAAATTACAAGATCGAAACGAAAAAGGGTGTGCACTTAAACAAGATTAAACTAATTATTACCAGTGAAATGGAAGCAGCCACGACCCTTTTAGTTTTAAGACTTGGTGTTAGTTGTTAGTTGGTTCATTCTGTTATTTCTTTCTTGCAGTTACTTTCTTTACACGTATCAGCTACTAGTTGATGATGTATATAAGCTGATACTTGACACGTTTTACCTTCAATGAAAATACTATTCAGTTTGCATATTTCCTTGTTTCCTCTTGCTT